TGATGCAGGGACATTCTTCTTAGTGTTCTCGGAGGATAAAAAGCTGGGATCGGGGGCTGTCTGTCCGGGCGGGCGCGGAGCGGAGAATTCGCGGACTCTGGTCAGTCTACGCGAACAAGCTCCGGCGGGCGCGGGCGGAAGCCACGGTTTCCTTTTTTAAGACATACACGTGTCTTGTTTCTAGTTTAATGTCATCAAGAGTTATGTGACACTGTTTTTGTTAATCAAGTGAGACTCTTAGCAACCCTATGAACGGAACATTCGATCAGAACACTATTTTATCTCGTACGCATAACATCCTCTCAATCTTTGACACACTCAAGCCCATTGCGCAGTGACCATGTCAGCTCACTTGACCGAAGGTCTTTCCTTCTATTGCCGCCGCTCCATCTTCTCAAACATGTCTCTCTCGAAGAAGTAACATCTCCTAGCGACATGTCCAAGATGTAGTGGCCTAGTGGTAAGAAGCGGCACTGCAATACAAAAGACATGCGGTTCAAATCCACCAGCTGATCCATGCGATAAAGACGGGCAATCTCCTCCTGTTGGATTAACTGCCTCTGAAAACACACCTATGGGCCAGCCATGGGTGGATTCAGACACAACAACAACAGCAACATGCCCAAGGTATGTGAGATGCGAAGTTTCATCATCTTTGCTCCAAGGAGCACTCTGGCTGCATTTTCTCCTAGACATAACTAACTGTTCTTTGGCAGTACACTGTCCAGAATTTTGTTTTCTTGACATTGAGATGCAATCCATATTGAAGGCTGCAGTGTTTAACCTTCTGCAGCAGATGCTGCAAATCCTCCTCACTTTCAGCAAGAAGGTGTCGTCTGCATAATGAAGGTTATCAATGAGTCTTCCTCCAATCCTGATAACATATTTTTCTTCACAGATGACTCTGCCTCCAATCCAGATGCAGTTTCTCAAATAATGTGCTCAGCTTATAGATTAACTATGTATGGAGAAAAGACACATGATGTGTCTTTCCTAATTTTAAACCTTGCAGTGTTTCCTTTCTCTGTTCACACAGCAGCCTCTTGTGTGTATAAGTTTCTCACTAGCACAATCAAGTGTGGTATTAATAAAATTCAGAATTATTCAAACATATGGTAAAGTGCTAAAAACTTCCTGGGGTTCTAGCCTGCAAATTGGTTGAAGCATCTAATTAATATTTGTTTTGTCCTTAGACCCTGCTTTAACTTCTCTCTAGTCAAAATGTTAAAGAGCAATGACGTCAATTTGAAGATGAAGGTGGGTCTGATTCAGTCCGTGGTCTTCTCAATCAACTGCTGCTACACATCAGAGCTGGACAATGAATAAGAATAACAGAAGACTTGATACCTTTGAGTTGTGGTGTTGGAGAAGAGTACTGAATATCCCATGGACTGCCAAAAACACAAACAGATGCGTCTTTGGAAAAGTACAGCTAGAGCATTCCTTGGAGGCAATGATGACAAAGCTTTGTCGTTCATACTTTGGGCATATAGCTAGGCTATTTCTTGGAAAGGGACATCATGCTTGGAAAAATGGTCAAAGAAGAAAAAGGCCCCCAATGAGATGGATTGACACAGTGACTTCAGCAATGAGCTCTCATGTATTAGAGATGATGAGGATGACACAAGATAGGGTAGGGTTCAGGTCAGCTGTTCATAGGGTTGGCTGTGAATTGCACTTTAAATAGCAATAATATAGTCATGCAGATCACTTTAAGACATCTGTTTACTGGAAAAGAAAATGCATCTTTCCTAAATTAACATTTTTTTTTAATTTTTTAATTTTATTATTTTTGTGTGAGTGTACCGTCAAATCAGATCTGACTGGTACAGGAAGAGATTGTCCCTCCTTCCTTGGCAGAGCATCTGGTGGATTTGAACCGTGCGCCTCTGGGACTGTAGTTGCAGCTCCTTGCCACTAGGCCACCAGAGCTCCCCCTAAATTAACATTTGTCTTTTGAAAAGGTATTCTTCTCAGCCATCTGTAAACTGTACCTTAAGCTGTCTGTTTACTAGAAATTGTATATAAACTAACCTTTTGAATGAAAGAACCTTGTAACTTTGAACTGTTGTTGTTTTTGTGTAGCTGACCTATAGCTGACCCTCAGGTGGAGTTTTCAGAGGCAGCTAATTGCACAGTAGGAGATTGCTCCTGCAGAGGAGCTGGTGGCCTCGAACTGCATGCCTTCGGGATTGCAGCTCAGCTTCTTGACACTAGGCCACCAGAGCTCCCTAGCTTTGAACTATTGTTCTTGTGTGCCATTGAGTCACAGGTGGCTCACAGTGACCCTACGTACGTTAGCTCTGAAACTTGCTCTATCCTGAGCTGATCTCATTGCCTCCAGTAGATCTAATCCCATTGTTCCAGTCACTGAGTCACTCCACCTCATTCTGGGTCTTCCTCTCCTGCGCTGTCCCTCCACCCACCCAAGCATGAAGGATAAAAGGCAATAACTATCTTTAGACTGGTAGGCAGTTTTTAGAGGATTCTCTCTCTGTTATCCTAGAACTAAAAAGTAGTAAAGTGCTTTGGATATTGCAATCCGTCTGTCTTATTTGCAAGTGACTGTTTACTAACATTAGGAGGGTATTAATGAAATAAAATCTATTCTCAATCCATAAAACCTCTCCACAAAAAAAAGGAGAAAAAAAGTTTTAATTTAATAAGTATTGAACCAGAGTACAATGCATCAAAGGAAATCTGCTAAGGAGATAGCAAAGATAGAAATCATGTCCTTTATATAGCTTTGGGGTGTAATCTCTAAGGTGTTATGTTGCTAACGCAAAGACCTTATCTCTCTAGTGG